TGAGTGGGACAGCTTCCTTGTGGATTTTAGGAAGTCCATAAATGCAGGGTATGGCATCCCCTGGGTAAAGGCAGTGATTATTCTGAATATTATTGAAAATCTGTGGTGTGAGTTAAAGAGAGCTGTCCAAACTCTGAAGCCATCAAACCCAAATGAACTAGAGATGTTTTGTAAAGAGGAGTGGTCCAAAATACCTTCAAACACAATTCAGACTCTCATTGGAACCTACAGGAAATGTTTAGAGGCTTCCATTTCTGCAAAAGGCGGATCTACTAAATATTGTTTCATTTCTTTTGTGGTGCCCAAATTTATGCACCTGCCTGATTTTGTTTAAATTATTGCACACTTTCTGTAAATCCAATAAACTTCATTTCACTTGTCAAATATCACTGTGTGTGTCTTCTATATGATATATTTAACTGACATTTTTTATTCTAACAACCAACGATTTATACAGGAAAAATAATGACTATTAACAAGGTTGCCCAAACTTTTGCATCCCACTGTATATTTTCTGTGCCAGAAATCTCTGTAAGATTATTTCAATGTCAAAGGTCATGCAGCATTTTGAAGAGTCCCCCTCTGAACATAAGCAGATGCCAACCATAGAGAGGAACACTCTCACAAAATACTTCTACCTGTTTCCAGGTCATCCGGGGTAAGTCACTGCCACATTGCTCTCAACTAATGAAAGTTTATTAAGACCACAAGTTGCAATTTTAACATAGCCGAACTGCCGCATTTTGGTCTGTTGTTAGCAGACTTGTTTGGTATAAGTTTTGTAGGGGGCGGAGTCCGCTAATTTAGCGTTTTTTTAATGAGTTTTAGCCCAAAGATGCAGCTGTAACGTTAGCATACCATTTTTTTTTTAAATTTTAACAGCATGCACCATTTTCTTTTGTCAGGAGAAACACACAGATCACAGGCCTTTATTTCTATGTGTTGCAGGTATGGGGAAGTGGTTTTTCATTGATTGCTTTTGTGGCACAGTATTGTCTTTTGGATGGTGTTTATTAATATGATTATATGTGAGTTTAAGGTTTGAATTATAAGCACCAAAAAGTTGGCTCTTGGTTATTAAGTTGTATTTGTTTGTCTGATTGTTTAATTATTTTCAAATTATTTTGTTTTATTGTTCCTATAAATTGTTTTTGATGATTTTTCAGTGATATATTATTTATCGTATGCTTTTTGTTGTTTTTTGAGAGCTTAAGATAATATTTTGAAACAATCTGTTGTATTTGAGTTATTATATTATAATAAAGTAAATAAAGCTGCAGCTTTATCACAGCACAGCTCCTTTTAGCATGGCCGGAGGAGAGGTGGGTGGATTATATTCTATCTACATTGATATTAAAATGAATAGAATTTCCATGCAACTCAGACATGCAGATGGCCCTATTTGATTTGAGATCGATTACCCAAATGTAACCCGTTTCTGTGTTACACCTGTTGACGTGGTGTGTAACGGCGTGCGAATATGAAGCAGGAGACAGCACTAGGTCTTTGGGCTCTTTACTTTAACATCTGCAACACATAGAAATACATGTGATCTGTGCGTGTCGTGCGCCTGCTAGGACACCGTTATCATCTTAACTGCCCTGTACCAACACAGACCAGGGCAGCTACCTGAACGCTACTCCACCAGAGGTCGATAATGGAAATATGGTATCTAACCAGATTCTTACTCTGGATGGCATTACCTTGGCCTCCAGTAACGCTGTGAGGAACCTTGGAGTCATTGTTGACCAGGACATGTCCTTCAAAGCACATATTAAACAAATATGTAAGACTGCTTTCTTCCATTTGTGCAACATCTCTAAAGTTAGAAATATCCTGTCTCAGAGTGACGCTGAAAAACTAGTTCATGCATTTATTACTTCCAGGCTGGACGACTG